ACTTGAGCCACAGCACCACTTCCGGCTTTTTTCTTTTTGCTTATGTGGTGCTAAGGAATCGAACCCAGGGCCTCATGTGTGCAAGGCACGTGCTCTACCACTGAGCCATCTTCCCAGCCCCCTGAGCTCCTTTTGCTCAAGGTAGCGCTGTACTACTTCTGGCTTTTTTGAATAGTTTATTGGTGATAAAGAGTTCCGTGGACTTTGTTGCCTGGGCTGGCTTTGATCTCTGATCTCAGAGATCCTCAGATCTCTGCCTCTTGAGTAGTTAGAATTACAGGCATGAGCTACTGGTGCCTGGTCTATTGTTTTTTGGGTTTTTTTGGTCTGTTGGGGGGCCTGAACTCTGGACCTGGGCACTGTCCCTCAGCTCTTTAGCTCAAGGCTAGCACTCTACTAATTGAGGCACAGCACCACTTCCGGCTTTTTCTGCTTATTTGGTGCTGAGGAATTGAACCCAGGGCCTCATGCATGCAAGGCAAGCACTCTATCACTGAGCCACCATCCCAGCCCTGCCTGGCCTATTTTTACTTTTTTTTTTTTTTTCTTAATATATCGTGATGCTTTGAACTCTGGACCTGGGCGCTGTCCCTGAGCTTTTTACCTCAAGACGAGCATTCTGCCACTTGAGCCACAGTGCTACTTCTGGTTTTCTGGTGGTTAATTGGTGATAAGAATCTCAGGGACATTCCTGCCCAGGCTGGCTTTTGATCCTCAGATCTCAGCCTCCTGAGTAGCTAGGATTACAGGCATGAGCCACTGGCACTTGGCAATGGTTAGATTTTTTTTCTGTATTACAATACTTGTTGAGATTCCTGAAATACAATCTACCATGGTGTTATAGGTTGAAAAATACTTTTGTCTGTTTTTAAAAAATAGGTCCTTGATGGCAAAGAAGAAGTTGAGAAACAACATAGAGAAAATATTAAGAAACTAAATTCTGTGGTAGAACGCCAAGAGAAAGATCTTGGCCGACTTCAAATAGACATGGATGAACTTGAAGAAAAGAACCGCAGTATTCAGGCTGCCCTGGATAGTGCATACAAGTAAGAAAATGATAATGTGTGCAGCCAGTTTAGAATCAGTGATCAGAGTAGGGTGTCGAAGGAGCCCTTTTGTACTATGTTATCCTTAGCAACGTTTATGAACTTGTCAGTAGTGAGGGGGTGATTACTTTTAAGTGAGTTCAGCAGAATCTTTATGGTAGTGTTTTTTTTTAAAGCGGTACACTTGTATATGTAGTTTCCTGTATATTGCTTTAAATAAAAGTTATCAATCTGAATTTTTAAGAGAACTTACTGATCTTCACAAAGCCAATGCTGCAAAGGATAGTGAGGCACAGGAAGCTGCTCTGAGCCGTGAAATGAAAGCTAAAGAAGAACTTTCTGCAGCCCTAGATAAGGTTCAAGAGGAAGCCCGTCAGCAACAAGAAACATTGGCAATTCAGGTAAAAGCCGGATGATTAAAGCTATCTTGTATATATTTATATTCCTCTACATTAAATAATTGCTTAACTAGTTGGCATTGATCCTTATGTAGTGATAGAAGTATCAGATTTTTGTTATTATCTTCCTGGATGGTAGAGTGCTGGTCCAGCAAGCACAGGACCTAGAGTTTAAACCCTAGTATTGCAGAATAAAGAGCTGGATTGTGTAAAATTAAGTTTTATGTACAATTAAAAAATAGCTGTTAAAATGATGTGTGCATTGTGGAAGTATTGAGCGGTTATTTTTGTGTATTTCATACTTAAGAATGTTATGGATGCTTATAGCTCAATAGTAGACCTTCCTGCTTCCTATGCTCAAGGTCCTGTGTTCTATTGTATCCCTACTAAAAAATTAAAAACCCTGGAAACTGAGCATCCTATACACATAATTATTGTATGTAATTTCAAGAGAATAAATTTTACTCATACATAGCATTGTAGCAGTTTATGAACCTCAGGTGAAGGGAGGAAAACAAAATTTGTTTTGTCAGTTATTAGAGATTTGAGTTGTTTATGCTATTTGCATTAAGGTGCTATGAGCCAGGTACCCATGGCTCATACCTGTATCTACTCGGGAGGCTGAGGTCTGAGGATTGCAGTTTGAAGCCACAGGCAGAAAAGTCCGAGAGAGACTGTCTTCAGTTAACCAGTAAAAATCTAGACTAGAAGTGTGGCTTGTGTTGTAGATTACCAGCCATGAATGAAAATACCAAGTGTGAGTGAGGTCCTGAGTTCAAGCCCTGGTAATAGCATGGTAACACTGCTATAAATATTCATGTACACATTTTTTTCTTTTTTTTTTTTTTGGAGGGGGTGGTCCGGTTGTGAGGCCTGACCCTGGGCCTGGGCACTGTCCCTCAGCTCTTCAGCTCAAGGTTCGTGCTCTACCACTTGAGCACAGTGCCATTTCCGGCTTTTTTTCTTTTTTGCTTATGTGGCGCTGAGGAATCGAACCCAGGGCCTCATGCATGCAAGGCAAGCGCTCTACCACTGAGCTACCTTCCCAGTCCTCATGTACACATTTTTATGTGAACATGCATTTTATGTTCTTCTAGATATGTATATCCTTAGGTCATGTGGTAATGTCAAGTTTGACTTTTTGCAGATCTGCCACATTTTTAGTAGTAATTGTATCATTTTACATTCTCATTAGAAGTAGATGAGGCTGGATGCTGGTGGCTCATGTTTATAATCCCAACTACTCAGGAAGCTGAGCTCTAAAGACTCTGAGCCACCCCAGGCAGAAAGGCCCATGAGTTCCTTATCTCCCATTAACCAATTAAAAAAAAAAACAAAAGTGGAGCTGTGGCTCAAGTGGTGGTAGAGTGCTAGCATTCTAAGCAAATATTGACTATACTTCAGTTTTGGAATTGCTTAAATAGGATGTGTGTTAATAAAAACTCATTGGATAATATAAATTAGTATATATGGCAACACAGCTGTGTAGTTAGCAGAAAATTACCGATGGTGCACCCTTGACATATATGCACCATTATGATGGTGTACTTTTTCTCTTCCTACAGGTGGGGGACCTGAGACTGGCACTGCAGCGGGCAGAGCAAGCAGCTGCTAGAAAAGAGGACTATTTACGCCACGAGATCAGTGAGCTTCAGCAGGTATTGCTAACAGCTGCCTAAACACGAGTTAAAAGTACACATTTTCTTAGGAAAAAAAAGAAGACTCACAGGGATAGTTTCATGGAAATGGAAAGGATTGCTGACAGAGTCACCAGTTGCTATATTTTTGTGGCTTTATGTGAACTACATAAAGATGTTCAAGAACGTTCTCAAGTTTGTTTGAAAGGAAGAGTGATTTTTTTTTTAAACAATAGGTTTACTGTATATTTGTTGCTTTTTTTTTTTTTTTGGTGGGGGAGTAGTTGGTGTTGGGAATCAAAACTGAGCCCTTTTCCTGCTTCTGAGTGATTTTCACAGCTACTTTGGTGTTGTTTTTGATTTGTAATAGGTTATCCAGGTTTGGATACAGTGAGGCAGATACTCAGTACTTGGTTTCTTTGCTTATGTTATATTTTTTTTAGTCAGAGACCATGCATAAGAAAAGGAAGAGGAAATACAACTTACGTTAATCTTTCTGTTTTTATAAATACGTATTTGGACGAAGAGCTAACTACTGAGTAATTTGCACTTTTTTTTAGCTTAGATAACCAATTACTATCTTAGAAGTATTTTGGAAAGACACTGCAACATTTTTTTTGTTGTTGTTTGTTTGTTTTGGAGCAAGGTTTTATGATGTAATGAGGCTGGCCTTGAACTTGCTGTCTTCCTGCTTTAATGTCCCGAGTGCTGACAGGTGTCTAAACTAAAGGGTTGAATAAAAAATAATATAAATATAATATGTAAAATATAATAAAGGAAATATCTCTTACAGAAATTTTTTTTCCTAGAAATTTCTAATAAAGTTAACGTTTGCTAATGCTTTTAGCATTTTTCTTGATATCAGAGGTAATAACTTCATAATTCCTTCATTCAGAGACTCCAGGAAGCAGAGAATCGAAACCAAGAACTGAGTCAAAGTGTTTCTTCAACAACAAGGCCATTGCTTCGGCAAATAGAAAATTTGCAAGCTACCTTAGGGTCCCAGACATCATCATGGGAGAAAGTGGAGAAGAATCTTTCTGATAGGCTTGGTAACTGCTTTAGTATTTTATGCTTGTTGCAGAAGCCCTTTCATCTTGTTTGTGGAATAGGGATAATGGTAGGAACTAGAATTCACTTGGTTTCATGATTATATTTAATGTCTCACAGATAGATTTTTACCTCTTCCCCTTTTTCATGTGTATTTTTTAATGTCTTAATTGTGACCTTTTCAGGCCATTTTTGTTTTTCCTTTATACCATGTATCAGACCCTGGCTAAAATACTACCTGTTATTTTTTAATTTTTGCAGGCATCTATACTCTAGTTTTTCCTTATCTGTTGTTACATGTCACCTGTTTCAATTTGTCTTCACTAGTGAAGGAGGTGTCAGTGGTAGAATTTCATAGCATATGTAGATCTGAGGAGGATCAAGATTAGATCATAGAAGAGATATACTGTTCAATCCTAAGATTCCATATTCTGCTTCTTCATAGACATGTTCCAGGTTGCCTTTGCTCTTAATAAAAAGAAAATTATTTTTCCAAGTCATTTCCCCTTAATCACTGAGAGGCAGTATATGAATATACTTGATATTTCAGAATCTGAAAAATTCATCATGTGCCTTTACCTAAAACTACCTGTAATTTGAGAGGTTGTGTGGCATTGTAATTAGAGCAGGCCTGAGTGGGGTTGAGAGAGGGGGACTTGATGCTTTGTTTGGTTTTGAATCATCCAGTCAGTGTGGGACAAGTTACCTACTTCAGACGTTTTCTGAGCTATTCTTTGTGAATCAGGAGAAGTGAATTAGACTTGTGGCATTCAAATAGCATGTCATGAACATTGGATGCTTTTAAGGCAGTTGAATTTGTGAGAGGGAAGCTCAGGAAATATGATATTAGGCTCTTCCAGACTATTTTAATGTTAAGAGCTCCTTTGTATACTTTTTGTTTGTTTGTTTCCAGAATTCCTTGTAAGGTTTGGCCCAGAACATGATTCATTTACTTACAAAATAAATACTGAACTTGATCTTTATATGTTTTTAAATTTATAGGTATAAATTTTAGATGTACTATTTATACAGTTTTTTGAGACCAATGTGGTATGAAGTATAACATCTGAAATTGACACTTTTTTTGTGGTGGTGGGACTCAAATTCATACCTGTTACGTAAGCACTGAGCTATACTTCTAACCTCTGAAAGTGAATATTTAGTTAGCAGTGAATTAAAGCTAGAAGCTAATGCTTTTGTGGGTTGAAGAGTGGAATCTCCACACACTTGGGCTTGTGTGCTAGAAAGAACATAGGCAAGGCACAAAGAAAACAGAATAAAACTCCCTTAAAAGGAGCATAGGTAATAGTGTTGAATAAAATAGTACTGTAAAAGAAGTTTTACTAGGTCTATTGTGGTTGTGGAAGAGTATGAAAGTTGTTGCTGTGGTTAAGTCTTAGAACCTTAGCTGCTGCTTCTTTTGCCTTCATTGAAATTTTGTTTTGAGAGGATTAAAGATTCAAATACAAGTTACAAGAAATAATACGGATAGGTCCCTTGCATACTTCGGCCAATTTGCCCAAATGTTAACATTTTGAAATTTAATATCATAACCACATATTGGCATTGGTTATTTATTTATTTTAGAATTTTCTAGTTTTTTTCTTGTGTATGTGTGTGTGCTATGCAATTTTAATGGTTTTTATTGTAAAAATACTGTACAGAGGGGTTATAGTTACATGAGTAAGGTAATGAGTACATATCCTATCGAGCATTGTTACCTCCTTTGTTTTTCCCCTACCATCTTTTCCCTCCCCACCTCCCCAACCCTTCCCTCTCCACCCCCCAAGTTGTAAAGTTTGTTTTCAACATGGTGTCTTGTACATCTCATTGTTACAATGGGTCAACCTGTATCCCTATTTAAGCATTTTGTTTTTTCCCTTCCCTCCCCAAATTAGAAAAGTATATATACAAGATGCAGGGCACAACATCAAATACATTGAAAACAGGAGTTATACCGTGGGGGGAGGAACATACAAAGAAACAAAAAAAAATTACATAGTACATTTTAAATACATTAAAAACAATAGCAAGAAAGAAAAAACCACTTGTGTCCCTATCTTGAGGTTCATTTCACTTAACATCATCTTTTATGGTCATGTGTCCATGTGCTATGGAATTTCACTGCTTGTTTAGGTTCATAATCCACTGTAGTCCTCAGCATGCTGAACAGTCCCAATTCCACAAGGTTCCTTCACATTGCTCTTTTATAAACATACCTGCAACCCTTCCAACCCTACTTTTCCTGTCCCATTTCCCTAGAAACTACTAATCTGTCCTTTATTTGTAAAATATTGTCATTTCAAAATATTACATTAATATAAAAATTTCACCTTATATGACATTTTGAATTGGCTTTGTTCACTCAGTATAATTTTCTGAAGGTTCATGTAACTTATCAGTATTCCATCAGTTCAGTCTTTTTATTTCTGAGTTAATCCATGGAATATATGCACCCCAGTTTGTTTGGGTATTCTCTTGATGAAGTCCAGCTTTTGGGTATGATAGGTAAAGCTGCTGTGACCATTCTTATACAGGTTTAGTGTGGGGATACATGTTTCTGGAAAGGTCAGCGATTTAGCTACAAGCCTGTTTGTGGTAGTTGTATGTTCAGTTTTTACTGAAAACAACTACTTATTTCCATAGTGCTTTATGTGTGAGAGCTCTCCATGCCCTTCACGTCTTTGTTAGCATTTTATGCTATCCCTACTTTTCTTTTGGTCATTTAGAAATGTAGTTATATCCCATTGTAGCTTCATTTTGCATTTTCCTAATGGCACATGATGTTGAAAATCATTCCATGTGACTGTTTTCCATATATACTTAATATCATTATGAGGTGTCTGTCTTTTTCTATTTTCTAACTGGATTATTTGTATTTTTAGTTCTTTACGACTGTAGGTGCTAGTCCTGTGCATGTACATTTCTCCCAGTCTCTAGCTTGTCCTTTCATCCACATACCATAGAGCAAAAGCTTAAGAAGTTTTAGAGGAATCCATACTGTTGATTTTTTTTCCTTTCTGTGACTTGTATTTTTATTGTCAGATCTATGTAGTCTTTGCCAACCCCTTATCCTGATTATCTAATTCTTTTTCTAAAAATGTTAGGGGTTTATGTCTTTTAAGCCTATAAACAATCTTGAGCTAATTTTCTTAAGGTGATGTCTAGGTTGAGAATCTATTTTGTTATTGCCTACAGCTGTTCTATGGCTCAAGGACCATTTGTTGATTCATTACACTTTTATTGCATGACTACATTTCAAAGTAAAATACTTTGGGAAAAGAATGATCAAACAGATACAAAGATTGGGTCATTTTTCTCCATAGGCAGTCTTACCTTATATAAAAAGTAATTGTTAAGCATGACTACTTGAAGCCAGAATCAGCTTGGTATCTTGGTCTCTGCATATGTGGTTTTTCTTCCTGTCTTATCATTAGGTGAATCCCAGACCTTGTTGGCAGCAGCAGTTGAAAAAGAGCGTGCAGCTACAGAAGAACTCCTTGCCAACAAAATTCAGATGTCTGCAGTGGAATCACAGAATGCACTCTTAAGACAGGAAAACAGTCGATTTCAAGCCCAACTGCAATCAGAGAAAAGTAAGCTAAGAAAACTAGAGGATGAAAATAATCGGTGAGCATGTTTTTGTGTGTGTGTTTTTTGTTTTTTTTTTTTGTTCGGGGGGGGGGGGGGGAGATTCAATGACATATAAAAGTACATTTTACAAATATGTCACTGGCTTTTCTTGGTGAAAAGTCAAGCATATTAGTGACAAGATGATAAGGAGGAGCTGGAATCCATTGCATTTCATGGAAGGTCTTAAAATAGTGTGGTTTTGTGTGTATTTGTGTTTTTCCAGGTAAAAGATTCATACCTTTAATGTAGCTTTTAAAGGAGTTTATCCGTAACACCACCTAGTGGTTTAGAGACCGCACACAGAAATTAGTTTATGTTACAAGAGTTATTTATAACAATGTTCCAGTCTTTCTAAATAAACGTTTGGGTGTTTTGAAAACTCAAACTGTAAAATATGACAATTTATATTAAAGTTGTAACTTGTCTGTTTTCTTACCTTTGATTTCTGAGGAAATTTTACTTTTAAAAATGTAGTCAAGGGGCTGGGAAGGTGGCTCAGTGGTAGAGCGCTTGCCTTGCATGCATGAGGCCCTGGGTTTGATTCCTCAGTACCACATAACCAGAAAAAAAAAAAAAAAAGCCGAAAGTGGCACTATGGCTCAAGTGGTAGAGTGCTAGCCTTGAGCTGAAGAGCTGAGGGACAGCACCCAGGCCCAGAGTTCAGGCCCATGACCGGACCCCCCAAAAAAATGTAGTCAAACTAGATGTCTGTGGCTTATGTCTATAATCCTATAAATTACTCAGGAGACTGAGATCTGAGGATCTCAATCAAAATCAGGCTGGACAGACAAATCCTCAAGATTCTCACCTTCAATTAAGCAGCAAAAAGATGAAACTGGGGTCATAAAATGGTAGTGTACCAAACTGAGTAGAAAAAACAGAGAGAGAAAGAAGCCCTATGTGCATGCATGTGTGTGTGCACGCGCACACGCATACACACACACAAAGTTATCAAATAAAAATGATTTATAAAGAATGAAATTTATAAACATTTTATTAAACTCCTGTAAAATTGGAGCATTATGGATGGTGGTATTTAAAATTACTTTTTAAAGTCTCTTTAAAATCTTAGGTCATCAATAAAATGCACAAAAATAGATGGACTTGTATAACTTCTGAATGGAACACAAGTAATATGGGAGATTTAGTTGGAAAATCACTGATATTTTGAACTCTGGTAGTAGAAATGACTACTAAATATGTAACTGGAGTTTAAAAAGTAGTGAGTTTTAATAGTCTGTGCTATCATCTTTTTTGTTTTGTTTAATTCCCTCTGGTTTACTAGGTACCAGGTTGAATTAGAAAACCTAAAAGATGAATATGTAAGAACACTTGAAGAGACAAGGAGAGAAAAGGTATTTCTCTTAGTGTTCGCTCCCTCAGGGCATATTGTAGAGAATGGATGGGGATGGTAGCGAGCCAAGGAGGACAAATGAAATGGGTGATGCCATGACTTTTGGAACTTGGTCTTTGGCAGTATAAAAAATACATTTATACTTTATTCTTCAAACTTTGCAGTAGATTTATTGTAATGCTGTGAATTAGTGTGACAGATGATCTAACTGTCTCTCTCTACTAGACGCTGTTGAATAGTCAGTTAGAAATGGAAAAACTGAAAGTTGAACAAGAAAGGAAGAAAGCTATTTTCACTCAGGAAGCATTGAAAGAGAAGGTATCAAATTTTCTTTGTTTTGTTTTGATGTAGCCATTTTGGAGCTGTTGTAATGAACATTGATTGTTTGAGTATATACAAAGAAGTCTGAGGTTTCTCAGTTTTGCAATATGGAAAGTCTTAAGTCTTTTTTTGAATAATTTATGTGATTTCTCACTGAACTAATGAAATAATTGGCCCATAGGCACCTTTACAGTAGATCTGGATTTTTTACTTTGTTGCTGGTTAATAAAAGATATAAATGAATTTCTACTTTAAATGATTAAAATATACTAGGAATTAGCATAACACATTAAAAATAAATGTGTATAAATGGGATTGCCTTTTGAATTTATTTGGAACTTTTAATACACTAAAATAGATAAGCAAAAAATTATGGTTTGTAAATTTTATGGTCAATTTTATTTCAAAGAAAAAAGCTTAATTGGTGATACATAATATGAAGTAATTTCTACACTTATTTCAACAAAAACATTCTCATTCCATTAAAAATCTGCTCAATTGAACTGGGAAGGTGGCTCAATGGTAGAGCGCTTGCCTTGCATGCATGAGGCCCTGGGTTGGATTCCTCAGCACCACATAAACAAAAAAAAACAAAAAAACCAGAAGTGGCACTGTGGCTCAAGTGGTAGAGCGCTACCCTGAACCGAAAAGCTGAGGGACAGCGCCCAGGCCCAGAGTTCAGGCCCCACAACCGGACCAAAAAAAAAAATCTGCTCAATTATAATATAAACAATTGTAATATAAACAAGTTCTAGTATGCTTTTAATTACTATTCTTTATACTTGGAAGATTTCTGACTTTGATTAGACACCATACATTTTGTAAGGAAAGTGAAATCAGTCTTTGTTTTCATTAAAGCTGGAAAGTTCTTGTTTTCCATCTGACGGACTTTATTTTTTGCTCCCTAAGGAACCAAAACTATTTTCAGTTTCCAGCACTCCCACCATGTCACGCTCAAGTTCAATAAGTGGAGTTGATATGGCAGGGCTACAAACATCTTCTCTGTCTCAGGTAGTGTTTGATTTTTTTCATGCATGTAGTTTATAACTGAATTATAGTGTGGGGAATATGCAATTGGCACATTGGCCACCATGAAGACATTTTATTTGATCCTGATAATGGAACACAATCTATGATAACTGGCTAACTGAGCTTTCTTTAACATAGGATGAGTCTCATGATCATTCATTTGGACCAATGGCTACATCAGCAAGTGGAAGCAACCTTTATGATGCTGTGAGGATGGGAGCAGCAGGATCGAGCATTATTGAAAGTCTACAGTCTCAGCTGAAGCTACGAGAAGGAGAAATTACCCATTTACAGGTACTGAAAAGTTAAGTGTGCTATAGAAATGAATGAAATACTGGAATTCAATAAGTAACACCCTTCATTTCCACCTGAATTCTGAAAAATAAGATGAAATGATAGAAAACTTAGAACCAGTTAAGCCTGTCAGTTGTCAGAATAAGTCAATGTTATCTATTCTCATAAGGGATGCTGGACTTGCTGGGCACAGGTGGCAAGGAAGCCTGTTCGAAGCCAGCCCAGACAGGAAAGGCTGTGAGACTGACCTCCAGTTAACCACCAAAAAGCTGGAAGTGGAGCTGTGGCTCAAGTGATAGCACGCTGGCCTTGAGTAAGAACACTAAGAGACTGTCCAGGCCGAGTTAAAAGTCCCAGACTGGCACAAAATTAAAAAAAAAAAAAAAAGCTAGATTGGAGTAAGCCTCCCCATTTAGAAGCAGAGAATGCCTCTTTCTCTCAGACAGCTTTTCCCCTCAGAACAAAAGGAACTTGAGTGAGCTCTTTTTTTTTTTTTGTCGGTCATGGGGCTTGAACTCTGGGCGCTGTCCCTCAGCTCTTCAGCTCAAGGCAAGCTCTCTACCACTTGAGCTACAGCGCCACTTTATTCTTCCCTGTTAAAATACCTAGGTAAGTTCTAATTCCCTCATCGAGGAATGAGTCAAGGTGAAGGAGTTGGAACTGTAACTGCATATGGAAGGACACAAAGGAGAAGCCCAGGCCCAGAGTTCAGGCCCCACAACTGGACCCCCCCAAAAAAAAGAGCTAGGTGGGGTTATATGTTGACATTCCTATTTCTTTCTTTCTTTCTTTCTTTTTTTTTTTTTTTGGTCATAGGTCTTGAACTCTGGGCCTGGGACCTGTCCCTGAGCTCTTCAGCTCAAGGCAAGTGCTCTATCACTTGAGCCACAGTGCCACTTCTGTGGTTAATCGGACTTTTCTGCCATCCTCAGATCTCAGCCTCCTGAGTAGCTAGGATTACAGGCATGTGCCACCAGAGCCTATAAGTATTTTTACATTAGCTATTCAATAAGAAACGTTTTAACTATTTTGTTTTTCAGATGGAAATTGGTAATCTAGAAAAAACTCAAGCAATAATGGCTGAAGAGTTAGTTAAATTAACAAACCAAAATGATGAACTTGAGGAGAAAGTAAAGGAGATACCCAAACTTCGTACTCAGTTAAGAGTAAGTATTCTTACCTTAAGTATGAGTCTAATGTATTTTTACCCAGTTATAGTAAATCACAGATTTTTTTGTGTATATAAAATACATATGTATATGTTAGTGACTTTTTTTGTACATTAAAGACAATATCATTTAGTAAGGAACTTTAAAGATTTTTGATTGTGTCATTATACATTTAAGGTATTTTCATAAAATTGTTTGGTCCCAGTGTAGGAAAAGAACTAGGCTTTATTTGGCCAAGGTTTGTATATAGTAAATATTTACTCTCCTATACCTTTTATAGGATTTTTTTTTTTTTTTGGGTCCGGTCGTGGGGTCTGAATGCTGGGCCTGGGCACTGTCCCTCAGCTCTTCCGCTCAAGGCTAGCACTCTACCACTTGAGCCACAGCGCCACTTCCGGCTTTTTTCTGCTTATGTGGTGCTGAGGAATCGAACCCAGGGCCTCATACATGCGAGGCAAGCACTCTACCACTGAGCCACCTTCCCCAGCCCCAGGATTTTGGTTTTATGTTGAATGTTTCTTCACAGTTACCATATGTGAATGTTAGGCAGCATTGCTCAGCAACATGTGAATATATATGTTCTTTTGACTTATTCTGTGAGCTAAATGCCAGATAGTAGTTAAACCAGTGAATTACAAAGAAAATTTCATCAAGTGTGCTTAAATTAACAGGCTAGGAGAGATTGAGTCATAGACGAGGAGAATTATACATGAAGAGATGGGGTTAGGATTACAGCCACCTACCTTTTTAAATATTTCTTTTTTTGCTCTTTTTTCCAACCAAGAGATGGCCATATACTTTCAGTTAAATTATGAGGTATTTCCTATTGACTTGTTTGTGAACTAACAATGTTTTGTATAGATATTTTTCAAACCATAAGCAAATATGTTTTTTAGGATTTGGATCAAAGATACAACACTATTCTGCAGATGTATGGAGAAAAAGCAGAAGAAGCAGAAGAACTTCGGTTAGATCTTGAAGATGTGAAAAATATGTATAAAACTCAAATAGATGAACTTTTAAGACAAAGACTCAGTTAACTTCTGAAAATTGAATTCCTATCAAGCTGAATGTTAGCATCTAATATCTAAATGCAAACTTCCAATAAATTCTTTTATAGAATTAGAAAATAGGATTTACTGGAGAGAGCAAATTTTTTATACCTGTTTTACAGTATGTAGTTATATTTGCAGTTAAATTATTTTGTGCAATATTTGAACATTATTTTTAAAACTATTCTTTAAAGATTTATTTTTTAAGGCATTCAATTTTTTTTTTTTTGCCTTGAATAGCACAGAGACTTGTTACTTTACCCACTAATCACTATGTCTAGGGGAAGAGAGTGGTGTTCATACATAATTGTACATATATTATTAGTTGTATCTATAATTTATACATGTTTATTGTATATATTGAGAATGTTTAAAAGTAATATTAACATATTAAAACTTTGAACTCTTTACACAAATCTTCAATATATCTGATAAAAATATTTTTTAAGTGATCAAGTAAAGTTGCTTTACCTGTGGTTATTAAATTTAAAGATTTTTTTTTTCCTTTAAAAGCTGAAGTTACACTGATACCATCTGAAGTTTAAAGAGTGAAAAGTTAAAAAAAAATTTTTTTTTGAGATTTTTACATCATCCAGGTTCCATAATTAAATGTGAACTAAGTTTGGTATCTTTTGGTGCCAAAGAAAGCTACACATGCTCAAAATTACCTAGACATAATTGGATAATGGAAAATTAAGATAATTTGTAATGCCATCAGTAACATTTAAGTAATTTTGAGAAAGCATTATTCACTCATTATAAACTGAACCAAAACTAATAAAATTATTAATATAATTCTTTAAACTACTTTATACATTTTATAAAGCCATATTCTTGGCACATTAATAATGAATTGTTTTTCTACAATGGAATATATACCACAAAATAGAAAAATTGTTGGAATTAATTTAAATCTGAGATTTTACAGCTTGTGTAATTTCTCATTTTTTTTCTTGAAGCTTTAAACTAATAATATTTTTAAAAAGAGTGTGAAATGGCTTTAGAAAATAGTTATATCCTTTCCCAAATGCAATTTTGTTCAAAAGTTACCTGGGTTGAATTTTACACCTGCAAAATATTTTAATACGCGTTTATTGTAGTTCCTCCTTCTCTGTGGTATCAACCCACAGGAACTACAATACAAAAATATTTGGGAATCCTAAATTTAAACTCATTCGTACACCCTTGGGTTAGTCACTTAGTGGCCTCACAGCACTGCAGAACTGTATCTAGGAACCCTTTACTACATGGCCCCAAAGCAGAGATGCAGAGGGGAAGGAAGGCAGCACTTCCATTAAGTGAAAAAAGGAGGAAGTTTCTGTGGAACATGAGCATCTTGGTCCTCTATATGGTTTCACTGGGTATCTGGGAACATACCTTCTATTGATAAGGTGGGATTTTACTCTACTTTCAAAATCTTGAATTTTTAGTTAAATTTAAAACATTTTTGTTGTTGTTGTTTTTGGGTCCGGTCGTGGGTCCAGAACTCTGGGCCTAGGCGCTGTCCCTCAGCATTTCAGCTCAAGGCTAGCGCTCTACCACTTGAGCCACAGCGCCACTTCTGGCATTTTTCTTTTTGCTTATGTGGTGCTGAGAAATTAAACCCAGGGCCTCATGCATGCAAGGCAAGTGCTCTACCACTGAGCCACCTTCCCAGCCCAATTTAAAACATTTGTAATCCAGTATACAGCCACAAGTAAGCTTGTTGGAGAGCTTTTCAGAGTAATTCAAGTGATCTTGTTTTTGTTCTTTTTTTTTTTTGGGGGGGGGGTCCAGTCATGGGGCTTGAACTCTGAGCCTGGGCACTGTCCCTCAGCTCTTCAGCTCAAGGCTAGCACTCTACCACTTGAGCCACAGTGCCACTTCTAGCTTTTTTTTCCCCTGCTTATGTGGTGCTGAGGAATCGGACCCAGGGGCTCATGCATGCAAGGCAAGCGCTCTATCACTGAGCCACCTTCCCAGCCCTTGTTTTTGTTCTTTTTGTATTCCAGACAGAATTTCTGTCCTTGGCACTCTGATTTATAGCACTAAGAAATACCAAAAAAGTCACATTCATAAAATTAATTCCCTACATTTTAGTGGTTTGAAAGCAGTATGAGTTTGTCAGTTTTTTCAAAAAATATTCAGGGGAAAGACTAAGACTAATAGCAATAAGAAATGTTAGAGTTATAAAATATAGGAAACTTAAATTTCAAAATTCTGATCAAGTTTTGAAACTAGGTGTTTAGGAATTATAAAATAGTCCTTTAAAACATCTGTTAGTTTAAAAATAAACTAGTTGCAGAGAAAAGATGGTCTAAATTCTTTTCTATACATATCAGTTTTATCATATTAAATATTTTTCTTTAATCCTTATTAAAATCATTGAAATTATTTCACTTAAAATTTATAGTGTTTTAAATTTAATTTGGGAATGACAAACAGGTACTTAAGCCTCCTGTTGGTTGCATATTACTACTTAATATGCATTATATACAAATGATAGCTTGTAGCTGATGTTCACATAGATTTTATTTTGATTATTGTATACTTAGATCTGTCAGTACATTTCTAAATTGAAAAGATACGACGAGTCAATTTCTTGTGTAACTCCAATGAAATGGCAGAAAATGTATTCAATATTGATTGCTGTGTTTTAACTACTTGTCATGGAAACTTCTCTATTCATATTGTAGTAAAGTAATACTCATTTTAATGGGTTAAAAATAGTTTGCTGCTAGATGTATTTGTCATAAAGTTTCACCCCTTCCTCCCTCCCCCTCTCAGGCTGGCCTGGACTGCAGTCCTCCTATTTATGCTTCCTACTGTAGGTAGGGTGCTAGTCATGTACGACCATTGCCTGGGCTGGCTTCAAAACCATAACCCTCCCAAGCTCATACTCCTGAGTAACAAGTACTATAGGCATGGACTACCATGCCCAGTATTAGATTATTTTATAAAAGAGTAAAAGCAGCATGAGTAATAGCACAGATTGAAGAGTCCCCTTCAATCTTCTGGGAAGCTAAACTGACACTGCCATTTCTTTGCCCCGTTTTTTCAAGATTTTTAGCACCATGTTTAGTGTGAAGAATGTACCAGATGTATTCATATTGTGATTTAAAATATTCTAAATATAGATAATTTTTGATGTAGGAAAACACAAGGTTTTGCAGACAAGTAAATAAAGATTGTTCAGGAAAGCTTTTACCTCATGAGCCCTCGTCATTTTTATTTGAATGCTTATTAATAAGCATAGGGTTCGTAGTATTCAGAATATATACACCAGAAAAAGAAGAAATTGACCATAAATGTTTTATCTTGTTTGACTATTTGGTTGGCATTGTATATATGTTCTGCTGTTAACATTTCCACAAAAGCTGATTCAATGTCTCCTATTATAGTTCAGTTTTAACCTATACAGTCTTTATATATTTTGTAAAGGGCTAAAAGAATGATTTAAATTACAGATTGATATTTTAATTCTAAATGAAAGCTCTTGTAAATAAGCACGAATCTGATCTTAATAAAGGTTTGAAAATAACAGTCATGGCTGGGAAGGTGGCTCAGTTGGTAGAGCGCTTGCCTTGCATGCATGAGGCCCTGGGTTTGATTCCTCAGCACCACATAAGCAAAAAAGCCGAAAGTAGCGCTGTGGCTCAAGTGGTAGAGCGCTAGCCTTGAGCTGAAGAGCTAAGGGACAACGCCCAGGCCCAGAGTTCAGACCCCACGACCGTACCCGAAAAAGAAAAAAATAGTCATGTGTTTCATTTTGACATAATTTTAGAGGGTGAATACCAGTGAGTGAAGAATATTGTTAGCAGGGCATCTGGTGGCTCATGTCTATAATGCTAGTTACTTAGGAAGCTGAGATCCAGGATTATGGTTCAAAGCCAACCTGAGCAGCAAAGTACCTAAGGCTCTAATCTCCAATTAACCACCAAAGAGCCATAAATGAAGCTGTGGCTCAGGTGGCAGAAAACCAGCTTTGAGCAAAAAAAGCTAAAGATAGTACCCAGTTTCTGAGTTCAAGCCCCCGGGTACCAGAGTCCAAGTGTGTGCTGCCCCCCATGATAGTATTGTTATATGAAAGTCATATAACTTCTATAACTTTGGAATTGATAGTTTTAAGAAAATGAAGACAAAACCAAATTTTCTGAGTTACTAGGAGTTAGAATTAGGCCTAGTTTTTCTAATAAACTTAGGCTTTTGGAAAACCTAGTTCTAAGAATTTACTTACTTTACTGGTAATTACCATGTAGATCATGTGTCTTCCCCTCCCATCCCCCGCCTGCTGTGTTCAAAGGGTAACATAACTTATCCTCTCATCCTCAGTTGCTCTATAACTTTGATCCCTTAAATTACATTAAGCTCTTGCCTTTATACATAGGAAAGCCTGTTAGGAAATCAAGATCTTCTTATAAAAAAGAATGGATTAAAAAAAACTTCAATTTTCTTTTAAACAAATTGAAATACTTCAGCAGTCCACATTTGTGATAAAGTTTACCTGTATCACCGTCTGGAATGTCCCACGCCCAACTATGCCAAGTTGAATATTTAAGGCTTAAATAATACAGAGGCAATGAGAAGTTTTTCTGTTTAAAATCAAAGGTTCTTGCTTTTCCTGGTAGTGATGGGCAGTGCAGAAGATAGACTTATTCTTTTTAGTTTGTATGTTGGGCCAATTGTCTATTCAAAATTGCAATCTTGATTTTTGAAAATAATGTTCAGAAGTCTGTGGTTACATCAATAATACAAACAACCTTACTTGTCCCAGGCACTTTGTAGGGAATTCACTTACATAGGATCAGGATCATAATCCCTTTGTCCATGCTTCTTAAAACCATATATTTTCCTATTTGCTGTCAGGTCCACTTAGATGGTAGTGCCTGATCTGCATGGAATTGAGGCTGTCTATGGTTTTACTCAGGGTGCATACCCATGCATTTTGCTGCAGAGATACTGTGTGAGACACTGGAGCTGTGACCTAGGATTCAGGAGGGATGTTAGGTAACAAATGATGTGTGTCCTTATTCTATTAAAAAGAATTCAGGGATTGGGGATGTAGGTCAGTGGTAGAGCACTTGCCTTGAGTGCATGGCCCTGGCTTCCAGCAAAGCAAAATCACAAGGATTGGTAGAAAAGGAATTGTATGCTCCACTTTACTGTTTTAAAGTTAATCCTTTTGTTGCCTTTTTATTGGAAGGGGAGATTACTGGGGTTTGAACTCATTGCTCAGTTGGGTCTACCACTTTAGCTTGCCTCCAGCCCTGCCTTTATTACTTGTTATTTTGGAGGTAAAATATAGCAGTTTTTTGCCCTGGCTTTTTTCAACTGGGATCTTCCTGATCTCAGCCTCTCCAGTAGCCACTGGCACCTACCTGGCCATTTTTTAAATAAAGAATTAAAAAGTTCTGATTATAAAAATTTTGAACATACAAGTAGAGAGGAACAGTATTATGATTGTACAAATATTAATCTTTAAGGGTTCAGTAGTTGGGGCTAATGTCTTATTTGTACCTTACTTGTGTGTTTCCTTTCTTGATTAAACACACCAACCAACCATTGGCACAGCAACAATCCAGGTGGAAGGAAACTCCTTTTTGTTTATGTGGTTATAATGTAGTGCAGGCTATCTCTGATTCCTTTTAAAGCCTGCATGGTTCTCCATTGTGTGGAATTGCTATGTGCAATGGTTTGGTTCTGGAAGGTCACCTAAGGCCCTGGTATCACAGGCTTGGTCTCCAGCCTTGGTACAATGGGAAGATGGTAGAATTGAAGAGGTGGGACCTAGTGAGAAGTCTTCAGCTCTTTGGTGGTATGTCTTTTAGGGGACAGTGATCCCCCAGCCCCTTCCCTGTTGACTCCTTAACCACGGGATGATGAGTGGTTTTGCCTTACCATAAATTTCCCATCATGGTGAGCTGCTTCATCACAAGCTGTAGCCAGAAATCTCCAAAATACCTTTTCTATTTCTTCATCTCCCCCTCCTCTGTCTCTTTCTGTCTCTCTCTGTGTGTTCTCTCTCTGTTTTCTTTATGTATATGTGTGTGCGTGCGCACATGTGTGCATATACATGCATGTGGGTACATGCACACTCACCTGTCCTGGGGCTTGAACTCAGGTCCTGGGCGCTGCCCTTGAGCTTTTGTGCTCAAGGCTAACAGCTCCACTTCTGCCTTTTTTTTTTTTGTGGTTAATTTGGAGATAAGACTCTCACAGATTTTCCTGCCTGAGCTTGGCTTTGAACCTTCATCCTGAGACCTCAGCCTCCTGATAACTAGGAGACACCAGCACCTGGTTCAACTTTTTCTTCTCTTTAAGTGGATTGTCTCAGGTAATTGTTACAGTAACAGCTTACTGACACAACATAGTTTATTCAGTGTCCTATGGTAGACAATTGAGTATATGTTACTGTCAATTTGAAGACAGTTATAATTAAATTGCAACAAGGATGTTTTGGTGGAAATTCAGGGTTGAGAATGTCTGTGTAGTAATGTAGCCATATTCTTAAAATCCCATTATCTTATTTCCTGTCTCAATAACCACACAAAATGTAGACTTAAAATTGCAGTGGGTGCTGGTGGCTAACGCCTGTAATCCTAGCTGAGATCTGAGGATCCTTGTTCAAAGCCAGCCAGGGCAGGAAAGTCCGTGAGACTCTTATCTCCAATAACCCACCAGAAAATCGGAAGTGGTGCTGCTGTGGCTCAAGTGGTAGAGCGCTAGCCTTGAGCTGAAGAGCGCAGGAACAGCGCCCAGGCCCAGAGTTCCAGCCCCTGTCACACCGATTTGATTGGTTTGTATGTCTTTGCAAATGGGCTAATTTATTTTTAGAAACTTCTCCTTTGTATGTTTACAGTGCAAAACCAGCTTGCTTAAAAATTCCCTTTAAAAGATTACAGTATTTTACATGAACAGGAAAGCTGCATTTCCTGTGCACGACAAAAATAAGAGAAGCCGAGTAAGCACTTTTTGAAATTGCTCTGCTGGCCTAGGGGTGTAGCTCTTAAGGCCCTGGGTTCCAATCGTCAGTATCAAATTACCTACCCTTATTAGTATGGAATAGGCAAGGTATAATAATAGAGCAACAGTAACAGGCCCTTCTTTTTAAAGAATAAATGGATTAATAATACCATTATATATACGATACCATATACACACATATTGTATTAATATATATTATGGATAGACACATATGTATATATAATATATGTATAGGAAAGATAGATAGATAGACAGACAGACAGACAGACAGACAGACAGACTGTGTCCAGTCTTGATCTTTGCAACTTAGAGCTGCAACTCCTGCCCCAAATGAAAACGAAAACAAGGTTCTGGCGGTGTTCCAGGCAGGGCAGAGCACACAGGTTTTCGGCCCTGGGGGCCCGTGGCTTTCTTTCTCCAGGGATCCCGGGGCGGCGAGGTTGCCGAGGGCTCTGCGGCTGCGGCCGGGCGACGGATCCCGGGCAGTGTCCGCGGAGGCGGGGCGGGAGGGAGCTGGCGGGTCCCGCGGAGCTC